TGAATCACGACCATTCCATCGTAACGACTATTGAATAGTAGCAAAAGATATATATTGGTCCCAAAGTCTCAACAATCAATGTTGCCAAACAAGTTCAGTCAACCACTTAAAAGTATATGATATGTTAGAATATGAAGGGAAAAAATAAATTGCATTAAACACAAAGCAATTGCAATAATTGAGTGATTAATTTTTTCAATGGAAGTTTATTTATTGCTCAAACATCAAACCTATCTATTGTAAGGTCAAAGTGAGAGATTTTTTACTAGTACTCCATAGGCCATCAGTCTATTTTTACTTATCCAGTATTGATTTGGTACGTCCCTAAGGAAACAATAAATATTATGATAATTTATTGTATTACTCTTTGAATTTGACAAATTCATTATTTTGAAAATGATTATATTTAATAATAAGAATAAATTAGGAATTAAGTGATAAATTATCTGTGATTTTTCAAACTGAACATCTATTTTTTAGTATCGTGGACAAGTAAAAATGGACAGAGAGTACTTATTTAAAGTAATGGGAAATTAAAGCATTCTCTAAGCACTTGAAAAAGGTGTATAATCAAATTCCCATTCAATTGGAATTGGAACTGATGATAATTAAGTGGCATAAAAGAAGTGGAGCACTAAATAAAATAAGCACTAATTATGTACTTATTTTCAAAAGCAAACACACCTTTCTTTGAATTAGTTTTCCATTCAATTATTCAATACTATAAAAAAAATATTATTTTTTTGAATAAATTGAGTTTCAAAACCCCTAATGAAAGTGAAATATAAAACTTCTATAAATGTTAATTTACTAAAGTTAAAAACTAATCAACGTGCTTAGTCTAATTGTTTTAACTCTGATACTGACTAAGTTTGAAATTAATTAATTTAATACATAATCTTTGATAATATAATAATGTTTACTAATTTGGCCGGCTTGACTTAAATTGTTGGACAATATTTTCACAGTAGGTAGGCTGTAATTATTATTATAATTATAATTATTTTGTGTGCTTTTTATGTTTGGATAGAATAGTGATAAGATTAAGTGAATCCTACTTTGATAATTGCTGGCCTAGCTAACCCTAGTAGGGTCCAAATTAATTTTCCATTGGTTTAATCTCTAAGTTACATATCTTATTAATTATGATTAGGAATTATTATAATTAATTAACATCTTAGTAGGTTGGATATTTAAGGACTAAGTCACATGTGAGGTTTTAGAGTATGTCCAACCCTAGGAAGCTGTCAAATTAGGAAATTGTACAACAATCCAAACACTAATATTCATCTACTTTTGACTTTTTTTAAAAATGGACACACGGTTCGACTGAATCACTCTTTTCATTTAGTTTTAAAATCGATGAATCATATGAACTAATACAAATTCATGAAGCATATATTTGTTGTTAGGAAGAGTTCAAACTTAACTTTAAGGAAGAAAGAAAAAGAGTTGTGTATCTTCCGCTTCTTTATTTAAGCAGCGTTCTGATTTAAAATTTGTGGATTTTGGAGGGGGAAAAGTAGTATTTGTTTCAAGTTTAAAGTGGTAATTGGAAATAAGAGTTGTATTTGGATAAGAGTGCAATTGGAATTGTTTTTAAGTTTTTGTGAGTGATTTGAAGACTTTCTAAGGTTTTCTAAGTTTCAAAAAATTCATAAATTCTAAAAAATTTACAATTTTATGTTCAAACATTTTTCTAAAAAGAAAAAAAAAAGTAAAAACTATCCATAATGAAACAAGCACTAAATATGTTATTCAGTAGCTCGATCATAGAGTAATCAACTGTTAACTGGTTAGGACATATAGTTTGTTCTAGAATTGACAAGCCCAATAATTTATTTTTGTATATTAAAAAAAAAAAACTTGTAACATCAAATGTCATAGTAACTCTTTGAACTATTCAATTTCCTAGCAAGATTTGCAGTTACTTTCACAATAAATTGTTTGAGGATAATATAATTTACATTGTTGGGAAAAACGACAAGAGATAGAAATAATATAAGGTGTGGAGTCATTGCTTGTTTGTTGAGAAAAAAATAATATTGGATTTGAAATAGTTGAGAAGTAAATTGGAACATTTATGTCAAGTGATCATGAAAATGAAAGAAAATTAGTATTATTTGAATTGAGAATTTTTTAAAAATAATTTATCTAAGAACAATGATAGCTAATCGATATTCGTTTCTGATTAATCAAGTTCCAAATAAATATATATAAAAACTTTCATGAAAGTTGTCAAATTTTGTAAGTGGGAACTCAAGTTTAGATCATTGCTATTGAAGAAAATCTAAAGGGAATCCATGTGGCTTGTCTTGTTTGGATACAGCACTGTCACATTTGCAGAAACTAAATTACAAAATTGAGTTGATTTTCTTGGTTGGTTTCACAGCTGAGTAATGAGTAAACAAGAAGCACTTTATAGTACTTTTATGTTATTTTCTTGAAGAATTATTTTGAAGGGGCATCTAATGTGACAACCCTGACGGTGGGCAGATCAAGCAGGATTGAAAGTTTCACATTGAAATAAGAAAGAAAAATAAAGAGCATTTTATAAGATATAACTGAAGTTCACATAGTACATATACTTTTGGAGCTTGATGTGGTATAGGCCAAAAGATAATTCATATTTATCTAATATCTAGTATCTACGTTCTAAGTGAACATTACATGCACCATGGGTTTGGGTCATGATAAATATGGTATCAGAGACAGTTCTCCCTCAATATGATTGTGGGGCAAACCTTAGTGATGACATTGAGACCTTAAACAGAGTGTAGTGACACTCTTTAAAAAGAGTAATCAAGTAGGACTGACAGACTTCTAAACCGACAAACTTTTGAAGATGAGGTGTCCATAGCATTTTACATAAATTCGACATTCAAATAAAAAAGGAAAGGACATGGGTGAAGTTCATATATTATGACGCTTTTGGGGTACTATTTGGTGTAACCCGAAAAATAAATCTATATAAACCTAAATTCAAAGCAGATAATACATGACATAAGACGAGTTTTTGTCTACTCCTCTCTTATATAGTCATGATGCCCTTAATGTTTGGTTTTGAAGAAGCCCTTAGTTGGTTTAAGCCACTTAATCAAACTTAATTAGTTCTCCATTATTATATTAAAAACAATTTGTGATACTTTTCTTTTTAAATTATTTTGTGAGCTTCCCTGGACGTGAATAGTGGGAGAAAGAAAATGTAAGAGAAGAGAATCTTTTGTGACTTTTGAGATTGAAATTATGAATTTTAATTGTATAAAGTGGTGTTTTAAGGTACATAATTTTATTTTTTTAAAAAACAAAGTCGTACTAATTGCCTTGGATCTCTGTTCACTTCAAAATCAAACAAGTACATTAAAAAAATTAAAATGATTATTTTCCTAATACGTGTGCTTTGACTACCCTTACTCGTTTGGATATTTAATTTTATCTATCATTCTTAATTAAGGTTCAACAAAGGGATAATAATAATAATAATAATAAGTGATTGTGTCTCTTTTCTCTCTTGGAGCAACGATAAAGTTGTCTTTGTGTTACCTATAGGTCATATGTTCGAGTTGTTGAAGCAGTAACTAACGACTTGCATTAGAGTAGAATGTCTACATCTCATCCCTTGGTTGTGATTTTCTCCGGGATCTACTAAACCAAATATTTTATGTATCAAATTATGTTTTTTTTTTAATATTTATAAAACAATTTTTCTATAGAAGAAACTTATTTTGTTATTATTCAAAGTCATTGAAATAGTAAATACATCATTATTCAAACTAGCTGGCGAAGTGACTTTTGAGAGAGTCCATCGCCGAATTTGTCGTCAAATAAGAATATTTCCATCTTCTTATTAATTAAAAGTACCTAATAACAATAGGGCGGCTCAACAATATTAATGTTAAAATATTGAATTATTTGTTAACTTTTCCTTTTGAGCACACAAGACTTTGACATAACGATGAATAAATTGAAAGAAAATCACAAAAAATAGAATCATTCACATCCTAACAATAAAAAGAACTATTTCATCTATCTAAAGTTTGATGCATAGAATTACTCAATAATATCTTATTTTAAGATATGGAGGATGTGCTTGTTCATTATTCACTTGCATTGTATATGAATGAATGTTTGGATTGAAACTATATAATATATATTTAAAATCTTAAATTCACTGTTGATTTAAATCATAGCAAAAAGAATGAACTAGAACACATAAAAGGAACAAGTGAAAGGCCATATTTGAATATGTAATCTATGAGTAGATTTTTGTTTTAATATTTTCCACCCAATATTTTGTATCTGTATTGGAGTCCGATCAATCCGAATTCACGTCGGGTAAGGCCCCACTCGGGATAGTGTTGCTAATTCAAAACCTCTGATTAAGGAAGGAACAGTCGAGTTTAAGCAAATTTATACAAATATTTAAATCTAGAGTCTTCAGTTTAAGGGGTAATACTATTAGATGGGATAAAAGGGACCACTTCAAAAGTACATTTTTTATAATTTCTTTTTTCTTACGAGGTTCATGAATAGTAGACAAAATCTAGCTGTCACAATTTTGTTTATGTTTTCTGGTCAATTTCCTAAATAATATCTTATAGTATAGTAAGTAAGAATTTACTGTAATTTTTAGGAAGTTTCGTACTTTGAATTGTACTTTATTTTTCTTAAAATAAAATTATTCAATACCCTATTTTTTATGTGTATTTTGCTACTGCAATAGTGGGGAACTGGAAAACAAATTCAGATTTTTCAAAGTAAACTTCATGGAAACACCAATGATATTTTGAAGGAGACAAGCTTTTGATAAAGTCAATATTATTAATTATTGTTATGATGACGTTTTCTAGAAAATCCTCATTTCAAATCATGGAGAAATCAACATATTTGTCAAAGTTGGTGCAGTGATATTACTATTACACAGAATACACTTGTCCCTCGTGATTGGGTAAATATTCGTAAAAGGAATTTATAATGTCTTGAGCTAATAGTAAAAGTTTGAACGCACAAATTCTTTCAAATGGTATCAGAACCAAACATATTGTATCATAAAGACAAAGAGAGAGTGAAATGTGCAACTTTGATAGTGGTTGAGAACTGTTCAAAACTCAGCATAGACAAAAAATACTAGGTGATTCTTCTCATTTGTCCTAAAATTTTGATGGACAGAGCTATCAGATATCCCGTGGAATTAGTCCAGGTCCAGCACAATCATCAAAAAGAAAAGTGCAAATAGGATATTGAAGAAATGACTGCAGCTTACTTAAATCATCGGACTTTAATTCATGAGTTTAACAGAACCTTATAGCTAAGGTACACGCGGGGGGAGGGGGGCCGAAGAGAATAATATACTGACATGATATGAAGATGAAAATATTGCTGAGTCACTTACTGATGAGTATTTGTTGGATTCACCAGATGTGAAGCCAAATAAGTGAAAATTGGTTCTGTCAAAGTGCTCTAGCCACACTTTTGAACTCATTCAAGCAAGAATGCAGGATTTTCTGTCTCTTCTGAAGTGATTGACGTTCGTTTTCTAGAGAATCTATAGCTCCAGGTGCAACAAACATGTCCATGAATTTTTCATCATTCACAGCAAACAAATTCAGCCCAAGTGCTACAAAAAGACGTTCTCGACTGTTGACAAATAGGAAATAATGTCAGTTTTGTAGTTACTGGACAACCTTAATGAAGTATAGAAATTAAAATGTGCAACAAGGAGGTGTGAATGAGGACAGTCTTGTAATAAACTAACTATAAGTAGTATATTAATCACTCCTGGGTTAAAATTTTGTGTCTGGCTAGAGATTGAGAAATTATCTAGTGAGTTAGATGCTAATTCAGTGTTAATATGCATACACAGTTGATACATATACACATAATATAGGAATTCTTACAATAAACTAATAGGGTCAGAGAAAGTTAGTAGCGTACCATGGAGTTAAGAATCCAGAATTCAATGTTGATGCCACGCTGCGTTCTACCAAAACTTCACGTATTCGAGCAAAATGCTGGGCAGCTGATGAGCATATCTCTGCATAAGTAGAGACCGGTCTTGAGATGTTGTCCCCATTTCCAAACAAAAGGCTCTCGCCATTTTGGCCATGGTTTCTAGCATTGCCTGTAATTCTAGGTTGGCGTTTTCTTGCTCCAACTTCGACACAGTTTCCAAGTTCTCTTTTGATACCATAATTTCCATCGGAAGGTTGGTCAGGAGATGGGGTCTCGGGCACAGTCATTTGGCATTCTCGTAGGACATCCCTGCTTTCTGTAACTTTTCCAGGTGTGGTTTCCTGAGCACTTTTTTCAGGGGGTATGTTTTCTTGGTCTTTCATTGCTTCTTTGTGCAATGCAGCACCCCCATCAGATAACTCGAGACATAATGGACTAGCTGTGGCTTGATTTAATTGGTACATTGAGTTTGTACCAGAGCTAAAACTCCCAATAAAGTTGTTCTCGTAGCAGACATGAGAATATGGACTTGTAACTGAATCAAGATGATGTCGGAGTAGTTGCTTGCACTCTTTGGATAGATCTTTCATAAAATGGTTGTAGGATTGCCTTAGAGCAGCATGAAAACCAATGTATCCTTCCATATCCACTGGTCTATGCCCATCTGCATAGAGAAAATGATATTCAAACCATCAAAAAACGACCGTAATTCGTGGAACTGCATGTGATATTCCAACTTTAGAATGCTATATAGAGAACTCCATCAACTGTTTCTGCTTCAATAAACAGCATAACTCTTTTTTCAAAACTATGAGTTAAGATTTATCAGTGCATCACACAATCTTAAAAAAAGGATGACAGAAACAAGAAAACAAAAACCTATTGATATCTTTAATACTAAATACAGGCCTCCTAAAGGTCAGCTTATCCATTTCGTGAAAGAAAATTTCAGCTCATATAGTAAATAGTCTAATGAAGCAGCATGTATCTCAGACTCAAGACAAAAATACAACTTGAATTCTTACTGTTGGAGTCATTTCCATGATTTTTCTCAATGGAAATATCGAAGAGGTTTCCCAAAACAAAAGCCAAACGATCACAAGCTGTGTCAAGAAGAGGAGCAAGCCAAGATCGAGCTGCAGCTCGTGCAATCTCTGCAGCTGCCTCAGTAATTCCCCTACCACCACCACGGCCAGTATGAGCAAGCAAAATGTTAGCCACCTGTCACCAACTCTGTTAAATTGAATTCCCAATTTCTAACTCAAAAGTTTTTTTTTCTTTTAAAGAAAATACCTTCTCCCTGGACACAGGTGGGCATTTGATTGAATAGGTTGCACATCGAAATTCATGCATCACCCTCTCAAAGGCAGCACCACCATAAAGTCGAAGGGACGCATTTGGAGGTTTAATTTCAGCTGTAACACTAGGCCAACTCCCAATACCACTCTCTAACCGTTCTTCCTCTGTTGTTTTCCCCCATTGCTCAGGGGCTGGATCTGCAGCACCATCAATAAGTGCCTCCTTCATCAAATAACAAGAAAACCAATTCAGAAATAATTTCATCACTAAAAGATACATTAAACTTGGTACAGCAAAACATAGTGGCAAATTCATAACCATTGCAGATATGCTGAAAGCCTGGAAGTAACACTTTAAACAGATCACACAAAATGCTAATTAGGAGGACATATATTATGTATATTTTAGAAGCAGTACTGACCACATGATTGCATAATGCGGCAGCGTGCAACATGGCAGATTTTCGAAGATGGGCAACATCAGATGTTGCATTTATCTTGCATTCCATTCTAGCTAAATCAGCAGTGACTTCACCACATCGCTGTTCCAGCAGAGCAAGTGTTGCTGGTGCAGCTTCTTTGTATCTTCTCTGGAGCTCAGCCTCCAAAAAATCTCTCAGACAACCAAACCCAACATAGGACCTATATTTCTCTTCATCAAACCCACCTTTAACACTATCACGCAAATAGTGTAACATCTCTGCATCCACTTGAGATATTTGACGGCGAAACTCATCATTGGAAATTGTGCCTCGATCCTTAGGTAGGGCGACAAAAAAGGGACGAGTATTCTCCCCAAGATAACCACTTGCACTCAAATACCGATCTACTTCCCAGCGTTCAGTGAATTCCTGAACATGGATTATATCACAATTAGATTTAGTACAGTGAGAGGAAAAGCCAATCCAAAACAATTCATTGAATAGGAAGAGAAGAAGGCAAATATGTTGTTTTTTAAAGAAAAAAAAAGGTAGCCCGGTGCACCAAGAAGCTATTTCCTCAGCTTATCTTACACTTCTGCAAGAAGCTATTTCCATTTTCCTCGGCTTGAACATGTGACACATGACCACGGAAGCAACTTTTACCATAGCACAAAGGCTCCAAAAGAAGACAAATATGTATCAAGTGAAATTTATCATCTAAGAAATATCATTGATGATCAGTCACTGTACAGGCAACTTCCCCAATAATCTAGGAGATAACTTTCTCCCAGCTTCATTTTCTTTCCGATTAAAAAAAGCAAAGATTTTGCATTTGCATTTTAGAAATCTCTGCTCTCATCACATAACGTAGTTATTTATCTATTAAAGTTGACGGTCACAAAAACATTAGAGCATATGCAAAAACTTCTTATCATCAATACTGAAAACAACATTTGACATGTGCAAGCGTGAGCCAAGAAACTTGGTGTTCATACCTTGAGCCGGTTATCAAATTTGGAGACAACAATGACTGTCCTCCTAAAGGTGGGATCAATCTCTCGAATAGTGTCCAGCCACAAAGATGAGCACCATTCCACACTGCTCTGCTGAAGGAACAGAATAATTCGATGAGGCGGACTGGCTAGTGACTTCACCATGGATAAAATTTCATCAGGTGTTCTCTCTGGTTCACCCTTCTTCGCCTGCCAGATGAAATATAATCAGTCCCTCCAAAAACATGTGTGTTAGTCGAGTAGCTGTATGTTCAAAGCCAGATGGAGTAACTTACCTTTAGTACAAATCCAGGTGTATCAATGATGGTAAGATTAGGGCAATGCGCATATTCTGCTCTCATGACAATAGGCTTTGAAGAGACTGCCGCTCTAGTCCTTTTCAAAAGTGACTCGGTCCGAGACTTTATGGTATCTGCAATCGCAGAGGCCAAGACAACTGGACTTCCATATTCTTCTGAATCCTCTTCCTGCATCAAAAATCATATTCCAGAATATCAGCATTTCCTCTTCTCTAAATTCAGCACACAACAATTAACTCTCTCTCTAGATAATCTCCAACATCACACTGATAGTTTCTAAATCCAAGGTCTAATCTCTATATACCATTTATCATAAAGCTTGAACAAAGGGGGTGTTATAGTAGGTTGACAACCAACATAAAAACAGACTTTCTTATGATAATTTTTTGAACATATGTAGGATTCGTATAACCAATCCCGACTAGTTTGGAATTGAAGCATAGTTAATTGCGGTCAGCTATGTGAATTCTCTATGTTCATTTTGCTCTAATGACAATATATCATACACTTATCATTTTGTCTACTTATTTAAGGTCTTTCCAGGTTTGCTTTTGCTAGCTTCCACGTAACACTTTAGATTATTTCAGTGGTAACATATTTTGCATTCAACTTGTATAAAATGAGATTAAGGAGAAAGAGTGTGTGTGTACAGCAGACCTGAAAGCGGCAACGAGGCTCTAAAGCGGATTGGTCATGGACCATTTGCAAGATGAGAGGGCGTCGGGTACCCATTTCAACTTCTCGGACATTGAATCGGAATCCCAATAGGGCTTCGAGGAGGGAGCTTTTCCCATCGGACTGTCCACCAATAGCAACTATTTCAGGAATCGGAAGTTTCTCACCGAAAGCTACAGCGGCTGCTTGAAGCCGATTGTAGGCCTCAAATCGGTCCTTGAATTCAGAAGCCGATCTGTTTGGATCCGCCGTATGCTGCTTGTGGTGATGTTTTTTGGAAATGGAAGTACTAGTTGGAGTTTTGGTTGGTGTATTGAGGAAGCTATTAGTGGTAGCCATTGTTGATGGAGATTGGAGCGTAACAATGGAGGAAAATAAGAGCCTACGAGCCTAAAAGGGGATTTTTCATCAATTTTTGAATTCGAATTTTCGGGGGTGGGGGGAGCCGTTGGGTTTATTGGGCTTAACTTTTGATTTTAGACCAAAAAGAGGGCCCAATGAAAATGAACTTAAACTTCTAATATTTGAGGCCCAACTCAAATATCATGATGATTGAAGCCCATTTCTCCCTATTGTTTCTTGGGCTTTTCTTTCCGATAAGAAATAGAGCCGTTCAAAACTGAACCATAACAAATAGAGCAAACAACACAAATCTCACTAGTTCATGGCCCAATTATTTGTCTTTACTTTAGTTTTTGAAATTACCTTCCATACCATATTTACTTCGTCATATACATGTTTCTTGAATACATGCGAATCAAATACATTGTATCCAAGCATGATTCACATGTATCTAAGATGCAATAACTCTCTCACTCACTTCTCTCGCCTCTCTCCTATCACGATGTATTTCAAAATGTATATGATATCCCATATGTATGAATATAGTGTGATTCGCATGTATCTAGAATACACCGACCTCCCGCTCGTCTCTCTCCCTATGTATTTAGTAATTCGATTTGAAACATGGTACAACATTATTAATTAGTGAGACTCAGTGGCGGAGCCAGAATTTTTAATTAGGGGGTTCAAAATCTGAAGAAATAGACACACGAAATAGCCTAAGGGGGTTCAACATCTACTATATATACATAAAAAAAATATTTTAACCATGTAAAAATAATATAATTTTCCGCCGAAGGGGGGTCGGATGACCCCCCTAAAGATAGGGTGGCTCCGCCACTGGTGAGACTATGTAATTAATTCAAACTATAGAGTGGATTAGTATTTATGGCAGTTATATTTATGTAATGAGATAGTTTTTCCTAACTAGTAACCCATCCGCAAAATAAGCTTATTGATTTATTGGATGCAGGTTATCGGAATAATGGTTGAGGAATAGTTTGAGATTCTGTAGTTAATGGCTTAATGGTGCGGGTATATGGTTTACTTATGTTTCTTATCGATTTAATTGTTATCCCGTTAAGAACTATATATTAAATTTACGTACATTTATACACTTTTATATATAAAGTACTTTAGAAGCACCTGCATATCTTTTTCTTTGGTTCAAATATGTACCAAATAAACTTTAAAATAGTATTATATATATAGCTAAACCTATATCAAATCGATCAATATCTTAATGGTTAGATAGTAGATTAGTAGATGTGAAAATTGATAACATATTAACCAAATTGTCAAATGCAATTATCTTATCCGGCCTATAAACATGCACCTCTTGAAAGGAATTAATCCACCATTTCATAAATTAAACTATAAATAAAATGTTTACTTTTTAGAACAAATCCGTTGTAGTCTAGTTGGTTAGGATACTCGGCTCTCACCCGAGAGACCCGGGTTCAAGTCCCGGCAACGGAAAAAATCATTTTTTATTTTTTTTGGAGAAAAAATTTCCTAGCAAATGAAGGTCACAAGTATGCATACGCTTTGATAATTTGGAAAGTTCCCCTTCTCCTTTTTAGAATTTTCTTTATACTTGATACGGAGATTCACCCACAATGATAGAGATCCGTAAAATTTACGTATATCATATCGTCCCGGATTTACATACATCGAGTATATTATTGTGGTTGTTGTTATTGTATGTGTTTTACTTTGACTTAACCTAACGAGATTTGATAAACCAGCTGGATTTGAATCATACATTGAGACTAGAAAAAAACTATTTAGTCCACTAGATAACAAATAATTAGTCAACACGCAAACCAGACTACCAGCTAATATTAATAGGTTTTAAACTCTTCTAAAATGATTATTTTTTTTTAGAGAAAAGAACAATGGAACAGAATAAAAATATTTAAAAATGGAAATAAAAATAAGCTAGAAAGTCGGTTAAAGAAAAAGTTTACACAGTTTGTCTCTACACCAATTCAATAGTAATGGCACATGCTCCATCCAACACAAATAAGGATGTTTCTGTGATTCGTTCACAATTTTTTTGCGATGAAATTTTTTGTAATGTCAGTAATATAAGTACAACTAATGCTAATCATCCTTCTAGTTCTAAGTTTAGAACGAGAATTCTAACTTCCATATACATTTTCTCTGAAGTTAATATAAGTTAATCTATTTTACCAAAAAAAAAAAAAGGTTTATGATACTCTTATTGCCCCGTATTGACAAAAAAGACTTCTTAGTATAATTTTTGTAAAAATGTAATTTAGTGTATTAGAATATTATTTAATTTTCTTGAGTGATTAATGTAGTACAATATTTTACTAATTGAAATGGGGTGGCTGAGGGCATGTGAATAAAATTGAGCTAAGAGAAGTCAACCATGTGATATATACTCCCTTTTTCAGCAGTGATTACGGTCTTAATTTACAACAATAGTATACTCATTTGCCCGTCGTATTGTATTGTTAATTTAAATACTTATTATGTTTATTTTAATGTTAGCATAAATTTTATCATATTGTATCGTTTAAATCCATGAAGTCACATTTTATGTATTGTTACCTTATTATTTTCTTCTCATTTTATTACATATCGTTTTATAATAGTTTACCTCGTACTCTACTTTTCTTGTATGTTCATCATTCAAATTGTTGATGTGCGACATTATGTAATTAACAACAGAAATAAAATATTCAAACATTGTATTCATTAAAGGGAAACTTACATAAATCTCACTACTTTAGGACTTAATTACTTAGATACACACTAGTTTGCGATATTACGTATCTTACCAGATTTTAGTGCATTTTCAGAAACATGTATCTTGGAATACATGGGGTCAAAATTATGTGTAATTTATTGTAGATACTTTGTATCCAAGAGGATTCGCAAGTATATGAGATACATAACAAATCTCGCTCGCCTCCCTCGCCTCTCTATCATCTCGCTCACTACTTTCCTATGTATCTGGTATTTGGGAATCACACCAGATACATACATATACATGTATCTAATGTGTATGTAGTGTAATTCGCATGTATCTAGATACATAACGAATCTTGTTCGCTTCTCTTCCTATTTTAGTATATTTGATAGCAAAAATACGTGTATCTAAGTATATCCTCCTCAATATATAGTAGATAACTCTTAATTAGTGGTAAGATACATAATATTATGAAATTGTAGATAATAATAATAGTATATATGGCAGTGAAGTATGTCTAATTAATTATGTAGGTTCTTCTTCATTAAAACAAGAGAAATTTTACAAATAGCCACTATAATAAACTTAATTACGCTCCATATATATCTATAGTTTGCATAATTACGAGTTGTAGCTATAGTTTAAGTTGTCTCGTTTGTATAATTCGTGAGTGAGTTTGTATAATTGGCGGGTACGTTTGTATAATTGAGTTATTTTTGTATAAACTCGAAATAACGAATTTATACAAATACAAACATCTTAACTTTAAATAGTTATACAAATTATATTATACAAAATTACATTATACAAATTCTGAATTATACAAACTTGTGAATTATACAAACTTGAAACCTCAGCTCACGTAATTATTACTGAATGTTGATCGCGAGTAGTAATTAACTAAAACTATAGCCATGATGACTAGTTATCTAATATATATTTGCTTAACCATGTAATTTTTCCTTTAAAAACAATCCAATATGATACATCACAACATAACACAGTATGCTATATTATGAAACAATACGTAATAATCGTGTGTAACCGATCGAGTAATGATAATAGGAATCACCTATCGTGCGCTTCCAAATTGACTAAACCTTTCGTCGGCTGAGATCTAGCATGAGAGGCCGTGAGAAACCAAGTGCCTCGCGCTTTGCCCGCCGGGAAATCGGATCTTTCAACGTGAATAATAATATATATTAGGCTTATGTATTAAGCAAGATTAATCTCTTGTTATTGTCTCTTTAAGCTATGACACCTAAATTACTCTTCACTCTACCACCACACACCCCCTTTTGGCCTTTTCATCTTAATGACCATTTAAGACTTTGTAATGACGTGTTAACCTATGATAGTATACAAAGAATTTTAATTAGTAAGATTTAAATCTATTCACATTAAATATGTAAGAAAAGATTTATATATTGTCGGAGTAATTTAACATGTTATAGTATGTTGTTTGTAAGGCAATTCTATTCATACTTGAGGTGATCTAGTTGATTTGATATATAACTATTTATTATTTACGTAAAAATAGTTAATCATAATGAAAGTGAACGACTCACGATAATGATAGAGCGACATGAATAATTGGCTCATTTAATCAGCAGAGTTTCACTAAATCTTCCCTATTTCCTTCCATTACATCAGAAAATGACTATTTTTATGTAAGGCACAATGCAAGCTATTCATTTTTATCATTTTTTGGCGCTCGCTTTGGGGTCCAACTAATTTGAATATGGAATCGAAAAGTCCCATTTGAGGGGTAAACACATTTCACCAAAGAAAGATGATTTTATTTAAAGGGCTGGAATCTAAAATTTCTAATTAAAGATGAATGAGTACTTACCACTCCACTACTAACAACTTTTTGCCAACTTCTAATCATAAAGAGAATTTATAATTGAAGATGAATGAGTACTTATCACTCCGTTGCATACAACTTTTTGCGAACCTCTAATCATAAAGAATTATTTGGCATAAACTTTTTGAATTAATCCATCACAAAGCTTGCTTTTGTTTGGACGATCACTTCATATTAAAACTAGTTAGATGCAAAATATTTTTGTTTCATGCTAGAAACACTTCCAAAGTCGATTTAGACTTTTTCAAGCAATGTTAATTAATACATTTAATTATTCCACTACCTCTTTTAATTATAAAGGTCAAACTTACTCCTTGGAATCCTCATGAGATCAGATTCATAGCTATATGTCACTAGGATCTAGAGCTTTTCACTAATTAATTAACTAATTAACAATTTTCCATCTAATTAATTCTGGCACAAGCAGAGAACAATCCCTCCCTTAAAAC